AAAAAAAGAAAAGAAAATGAAAGAAAGAAAATAATGAAAAGTTGATCTCTTTACTCTTGTTGTTTAATTACACACAAATATCAATATAAAAATATTTGTATTTAATAATAATAAGAAAAAAAAAAAGCTTAACGAATATAATTTGAAGCTCGTACTCGAACAAAAAATGAGATCACGGTTAGAAATATATTTTATTAATTGCATATCGGACGCATCTGACATGAGAGGTGGTGTCCCTTTTGCAAGGCGCGTAACTAATCGATTAGCCTTATAAAATCGCATGCTCCGTATCGATATCTTTCAAATGTTACGAGCTAGGAAAAAGAAATTAGTCGCGAGTACGTCGGTACGATCACGAATCGGGAGCTTTCGAAAATACCTAATCGATTCGATCCTATTCGATTTTTCGAGCGTGACGAGGAATCAACCGACGGGATGGAAAAAGAAAAAGATATGTTGGATACATGATATGATATATATATATATATAGATATAGAAAAAAAGGTAGGGGAAAAACTGAAAGTCAACGTCATCGGAGAATGAATGAGTCACGTGATTTGAACGTAACCGAATGGTCGTTGCCCTTTTTCCATTTATCCACAGGGTTACGTTAGTTCGCCACGCTCTGAGCAAGATTAGGAAAGTCAATTGATCCAAAACGGAGTTGTTCCGCAATCCCTGTCTACGATACTTTACCCACCTACTATTCCTAGTAGCTTTTCCCTTCGTAAACTGAAATATCCAAGCTACCAACCAGTAACCCCAACATCCTTGGTCCACATTCATCCCTCTCTCTTTTACTCCCTTCTCTCTTGCACACACACACACACACACACATTGTCTCTTTCTATCCTCGTCCCTCTTTGGTTCGTATCAGGTGGCCCTTGGCCAAATGTGCGGCTCGTCGCGTTAACTTCTCGTGACACGCTTCAGTTTCAGGCATGGCTGAGAGTTCCACCAGCATCGTTGGCCATGTCGCAACTTCGAACGAGCAAGCTGCTTCGAACCTTTCGGGTATATTATACTTGAGTAACGTTGCTAACGATCAGTTGGTAAAAAAAAAAAAAAAAGCGCAAAAAAAGTACAAACAAAAAAATAAAATAAAATGAAATACATAACGCAACAGAGATGAGAAAGAAGAAGAAGAAGATGAAGAAGGAGAAAAAAATATATTTAACAAATGGATC